TGTCCCAGAGTGTTGCTGAAGCTCCGCTAGAAGCATGTAGCCCAGCTTCGGCTTCGAGGGGCGCAGCATGGCCACATCGCTGGGTGCCTGGGCTCCAGAGTCAGGGTGGGGCGGAGGCACAGGCAGAGGGACTGGGGGGTGGAGCGAGAGAACTGCTGTGGCGGAGGAAAGTTTCAAAACCCACTTCCACTCTCTCCTCCCCGCAGGGACGCTCTTTAACAAACAGGACTTCCTGAAAACAGAGAAGGTGGCTGGTGAGCTTTGGGTGTGACCGTCCACCTCTGTTTCCCTGGAGTAGTCAGGATCAACTATCCCAGCCCCCAGGAAAGCCCTCACTTCCCCCTTTGACAGACAGTCATGGGGAAATAGTCTTGCCTCTGCAAAATGAAGACAAGAGGTTCACGGCCAAATTCCAGGGGATCCCCCAGGCTCCTCTGAGCATGTCCATGTCTTGTGCTGAGATTAAATGGAAGATGCCAGTAGGACCAGCAATGGGCTCAGGCCCCCGAATGAAGGTGTCAGTTACCCTGCTGTCTTCAGGGACCTGACTAACCCAGGTGCTGCCGCAGACAAGCATCAGGACTGCAGAGAAGCCGGGACTGCAGAGAAGCATCAGGACTGCAGAGAAGCCGGGACTGCAGAGAAGCATCAGGACTGCAGAGAAGCCGGGACTGCAGAGAAGCATCAGGACTGCAGAGAAGCATCAGGACTGCAGAGAAGCCGGGACTGCAGAGAAGCATCAGGACTGCAGAGAAGCGTCAGGACTGCAGAGAAGCATCAGGACTGCAGAGAAGCATCAGGACTGCAGAGAAGCCGGGACTGCAGAGAAGCATCAGGACTGCAGAGAAGCGTCAGGACTGCAGAGAAGCGTCAGGACTGCAGAGAAGCGTCAGGACTGCAGAGAAGCCGGGACTGCAGAGAAGCATCAGGACTGCAGAGAAGCATCAGGACTGCAGAGAAGCATCAGGACTGCAGAGAAGCCGGGACTGCAGAGAAGCATCAGGACTGCAGAGAAGCCGGGACTGCAGAGAAGCATCAGGACTGCAGAGAAGCGTCAGGACTGCAGAGAAGCCGGGACTGCAGAGAAGCATCAGGACTGCAGAGAAGCCGGGACTGCAGAGAAGCATCAGGACTGCAGAGAAGCATCAGGACTGCAGAGAAGCCGGGACTGCAGAGAAGCATCAGGACTGCAGAGAAGCGTCAGGACTGCAGAGAAGCGTCAGGACTGCAGAGAAGCGTCAGGACTGCAGAGAAGCATCAGGACTGCAGAGAAGCCGGGACTGCAGAGAAGCGTCAGGACTGCAGAGAAGCATCAGGACTGCAGAGAAGCCGTCCTGAGCTGCGTTGCAGACCTGTGCTTTTCCTTCCCTACTACGTCCTACAGATTTTAATTTATTAAACTTTTATTTTCCTTCTTTCTTTCCCCCATGATAATATAGGGTAGCAGTTCTCAAATAGTTTGGTCACAGGACCCCTTCACACTCTTGAAAATCATTGAGGACCCCAACGAGCTCTTATTAGTTATGCCAACATTTAGCATCGTTGAAATTAAAGCCAATAACTCTGAAAAATATTTATTTGTCCATTTTAAGACCTTACATCCATTACATATTAACTTTAATTTTTAAAACAACCTATATTTTCCAAAACAAAAAATGTATTTCGTCAGTAGGAGTGGCATCGTTTTGCATTTTTGTGGACCTTTAAAGCCTGGCTTAACAGAAGGCCACTGCATCCCCATAATTGCTTCTGCTTTCAGTCTGTTGCAGTATGGCATCCTGGCTGAAGAAAACCACGTGAGGTTGGGAAAAGAAGGACCTTGAGAACCCCCAGGGGTTCTTGCACCACACTTCTGATGGCATGGTGTGTCGGCTGACTTTAACCCGTACATTCTAAATAGAGAGTGCCATGACCAAACCAAACCTACAGATGTCCTGGGTGAAGGGCTGGAAGAAGTATTAACGGTGGCGGAAGCAGCTTGGCATCGCCTCTCTTTTCTCCTAGGGAAAGGATGAACCGCTGTCTTGCTATGAGGCATGGCTGTGTTGTGTCAGGTGGGAGCCTGGTTTCGGAGGTGTAAAGATGGGAGGAAAGGTGTGCATCAGATCTCCAAGGAAAGTGGCGCAGTGGACTTTTGCCAACTTTGGCATCAGAACACCCTTCCTTTTGGGAAAATCTTTTATTGAGTGAGTTTTGGCAGAATCCCACCTCCTCCTGGGGACAAAGGAGCCAGATGCTCTCTCCTCACACGTTCTGGGAGCTACAGAATGAACACACACCTGAGGTTTGCCTGATTGTATCCTCCCTCCTGGTAATTAATCGTGAGCTCAGGGCAGACTTGCAGACTCACTCTGCTGCTGAGGAAGTACTTGCAGCAGCAGGGGTGAGTCTGGAGGCTCCCTTTATATGGGCGTCATGCTGTCAGTGGTGCTGGCGGTGGCAGGGGCAACACGCCGAGCAAATGGTCCCTGTGCTGCAGCCCTGCCTGAGTTTCCAGCCACGCAGCTCCCCGGGCCCCTACGAGCTCACTGGGCTTCATCCCATCTTTCCTGCCTAGCTGAGTGGCCTCTACCCAACAGCTTCCTTCACTGAGTCGGGACCCTGGCAGGGCCAGGCAGGAGGCCTCCCTCACCATCTGCAGCTTCCACCTATATGGCTGGGCTCACTGCACCCACGCTTGGCTTTTCCAAAGTGCCCTGCATAGCCCTTGGAGAAGCTTTGGATTCCAGCACTTTCCCAGAACTGTCCTGTGTGGAGCACTTGGGCCATGCCACTGTTAACCGAGGGGCTGGAACGCAGGGTCTTTCTCATCTCACCTCAAATCCCCAACAGAACCCTTCTAATGGAAACAGCTTTTACCAATTACAGAGTATTTGTGAAGCACAGGGGAAATGCATCATGGGTGATCTGCCACAGATTTTGTGATTCCTTGAGAACCATCTTGTAACACTGAGGTCATGGAGTGACAGCCCTGTGCGGACTGTGATTGTTCCTTGGCCGTGCACTGCCTCTCCCCACGGAGGTCAGGCTTGGCCACGTGCTGTGGCCAACCGAAAGTGAGCAGGGACTGTATTTGTGCCTGCAGGGTAGGGCTCAGCCCCTTGTGCTTCTGCCACGAGAAAGAACACGGCCCAGGAAAAGCTGCTACTTCGACCGGGGACCCAGAATACCAGACTTGTTGCGGAAAGACCTGATCAGACCCGGGCCTGGAGCGTAACCCAGAAGCCAACTTGTAGACTGCCCGAGAACGGGAATCTGTGGATGTAGACCACCGAGTTCTGGGGTTGCTTTGCAGCAACAGCTGACTCTGAGCCTGTCACAGGAGGAAGAGTTCCAGAATTTGATACGTGCTGAACACTGGGAAGTCAGTGTTACATGGCAATTTGGTAAATTCCCAGGCACTCCTGAAGTTCTCCCAACCTCACAGACAACTTCCTACAACCTGTCGCTTCCGTTTTACCTAATGGTCCTGACTGTGGATGCCCTACCTGGTGAGAAAGCTTGTTTCCACACTTCAGACCCTGGCTCTCCAACACTAGACAGCTTGGGGGACAGGAGGTAAGATGGGCTGGCGGTTTGTGGGGGACCCCTCAGGTTGGGGAGTTGGCATCAGGTGCCAACAAGCTCCTGGCCTAAAACTGCAGCCGGGGGGTCGGTGATCCCACTGCAACCCCCAAACCTGCCCCCCAACTCCTCCAGCACTGCCTGCCCATCCACCCCTACATCTTACTGAAATGAAAATCCGTGTCTTGGAGAAATTCTTTAGGGGTGGAGGGGAGGCCCTGGGCTCCGGAAAACAAAAATGGGCTTCAAGTTCTAGGTCACTGAGGCCAGCAGCATCTTTCCCTGCATCTTGTACAGGCTGCTCTGGGCTCTTTCCCTCTGCGGGTGCAGCTCACACTTCTCACTACACAGGACACGTCCCTGTTTGCTCTCCACTACATCCTCACGGGCTGCACCATGCTGGGCTCAGGGTAGGTCTTAAAGAAATATTGAGAAAGTGAATGTATGAATCCTTATTTATAAAAAGTGACATCCACTGCTCTCAGGGCTGCCAGCTGGTGTAAACTGCCAGTGTGAGAGAGACAGAGAGACAGTGAGCCCTGTCCCAGCCGACTAAGCTGAGCCGTGGCTCCCTCGGGCATTCTGGCACTCAGCTTCCTAGCACAGGCTTTTGTTGAGAGCACATGTACAGAGCATGTTATTTTAATGTTTTATATATGGCAAAAATAGTGAATTCAGGATTATGTTTTTATTTTTCTCCAAACCCAACAAGTTTGCCTCATGGCCAGGGCAGAGAGTGTGGAACGCAGTTTAGATCATTTTTAGTAAATGACTAATAAGTGGACTCCATCCAGTCTTCTCCACAGTAATAACATCAACACTCCTTTTCGTTTTAACCTCCTTTCGAAAGTATTTATTTGTTCTCAGTCAGACAAACATAACTCTTGCAGGATCCAGCTTCTGCCGATTCCCTGGTGTGCTACCGGCACCTAAAGAAACAGTGTACTTACTTTTCTACACAGAGAACTGGAACTGCTGTTTCCTTATTGCTGACAGATGAAAAAGTTTGGACCTTAAAATGATACCTGCTTCTGTTGGCACTTCTGGGTAAGGCCACTCTCTCCAGCCTTCCGATGACAAGTAATGCTTTACAGCCAACTAATAGTCTAAGATGCTTAGAAATGGACAAACCACTTGCTGCTTATTTCCACAGAGTTACGACTTGTGTGGAAAAATTCAAGGTGCTAAGCAACCATGTCACTTTATGGCCTGGTACCACACTGGAGCATGTCACAAGTTCCCAAGTGCAGTGGCTTCTTCCTCTACTAACGGGTACTACCAGAGACCTTTACACAGCACAGACCTTGGTTACTAACACCTAAATGTTAAGACTCACGGGGTTTGCAGTCTCTATATTCGTGCCTAGTACTTTGGTAAAAGCCACACCAGGCACATACTGTTTTATGCAGTCTTCAAGGACATCTGCAATAGACGTGTATCTTCACATGTAAGCTTTAAAATATACTTTAACATAATACATTGTACTGCAGAGAACTAGAATTCAACATATTACACTGCTAAAATGTTCATATAAATACTACATATGCATGGATTCATTCCAATAGAAAAAAAATCATCTATCAGAATATCAAAGACCAGTATCAGCAAAGCCCAAGGAGAAAGTATTTTAACAGTAGGAACACTAAAAATAACGACTATGAGGTTTATAAACAAGTGGTGGGAAAGAGAATTCTTTACATTTGCTATTATGTCATAACAGGCACAATCTGAAATACAATTTTAGATTAGCAGTGTACAAAAATACTTTTTAAACAATATTTTTGATAGGTACAGTAGCACTTAAAAAAAAAAAAACAAACAAACAGCTGTGTAGTTACTCCTTTTAAGGACCTACTAAAACAATTCAGCTTACTGCCCCAGCTACATCTGAGAGTGCAAACCTGGAAAGCCAAGTTCTCTTACCCAGGTACACACCACATACACCCATATATGGAAATAACTCCATCTATGATGCATACTGATGAGGCAGCGACTTCAAACAGGGCGTGAGACGACACTGTCTGGAGCCTGCTTCCATTTCCAGGTTTGGGATGAATGAACAAGAGGCAAAGGCAAGGTGGAGTCTATGTGTGCTTGGGTCCTCTCTGGGAGCTTAATCTGGCATATCAATATTTAACTTGGGAGGTGGGGGAACGTATTTCCCAGGGCTCTGGGTTATAACTACCCTGGCCTTCTTTCCAAATATTGGAGCAATTTTCGGAGCTTCTGGAACGGATGTTTCTTCAGCATCTTCACTATCTTCGTGATGGAGATCATATGAAATGTTTCCATATTCTCTTAAAAATGGGAAAATTTCAAGGAGAAACTGACAGAAGTCTCTGCGAATGCCAAACCACCAATGATTGCCACCCTTTCGTCTAAATGTTGTGGCCATTAAAGTTAGCAAGGAAAGCCAAAGGGGGACAAATATGGAGATGAAGGAGAATGTATTGTGGCCATCCAATCTGTGAACCAGCAGGACCTCAAAAGTGAGCAGGGGCACGACAATCGTTATCCAGCTGATGGCCATGGTCACGTGTGTTCTTCGCTGCTCGGCAACCACATCCAGGGACCGCAGGAACAGAAGGGACCAGACGATGTAATAGAGGACGACCAGGCAAAGGAACGACATGAGAATCCACAGAGGCACAAACACCACCAGCCACGGCCAGTGAATAATCCTGTCCAGCCTTAGGGCGATGAAGATGAACTGCAGGATGTTGACAGAGCACAGGATCTCCAGCTCCAGCGATCTGTCGTGGCGAAAGCCCCAGACACAGGCAGCCACGGACACTGGGGACACGAAGAAGAGAGGCATGAAGACCAGCAGCCAGAAGTGGGTGCCCCTCTCCACCCTGTCGCAGACCAGGACTTCGAACATGAGCAGGAGCAGGTGGATGCCCACAGCAATCAGCATGGCTTTGAACTCCACGCAGGCCTCCCCCTCGGTGCGGTAGCGAGGGTTGCGGGCCCAAACGCCCGCACCCACTGAGGCGCCCGCGATGACCAGAAGCTTCCACAGCCATATGGGGGTGAAGACGGCCCAGTAGCTCCACTGGATGATGCCGTCCAGGCGGAGGGGCAGCAGCACTGAGAAGAGCAGCAGGCAGGAGTAGATGAGGAACTTACTGGGGTTGAAGTCCTGGAACAGGCCCCTGGGGTTCATGTCGGAGGCTGCCGCCCACTGGCCCAGGCCTGCTCCCCCGTGACGCTCGGCGCCCGCGTCTCAGCCGCTCCCCGGGCCACCGCCTCCAGGGCCCGGCCCACGCCGGCTCCAGGCGGACCAATGCCGGGGCAACCAGGAGGAGGCTCGCAGCGGCGACGCGGAGGCCGGAACACGTGCGCGCGCGGTCACGTGGCCCGGCCGGAAGCGCGCTACGGTGTGGCGTGCGCGGGCCCGGGCGGCGCCGGCGGCTACCGGCGGGGCTCTGTGTCGATCTCGCTGCTGCCCGCCTTCATTCCGAACTCATGAGGCTGGCACCTACTGTGTGCGGCGCCCGGAAGGGCCTGGCGCGCTGCGGACTCCCCAGGCGGTCCGCAACCTCGGACAGACGCTTCCAGGCGACTCCGGGAACATGGAGGCGGGAGTGAGCTCACATCCTCCCCGCCGGGCGGGGTGGGGCGGGGCCCTGCGGGGGCGGGGCCTGGCGGGGAGGGGCGGGCCCCTGCGGGGGCGGGGCCTGGCGGGGAGGGCGGGGCCTGGTGCAGAGCACCCCACCCGACTTTGCGGGGATCCTCCCCTGCCCGCGCTAGCTGTGGCTCCCCGGGAACCCGCCTGGGGCTAGGGCGCCGGCGGTGAGGCTCCAGCGTCCCGCGGGCAGCGTGGGGAGCGGCGCTTACGGGAGCAGAATCGGGTGGCCCGGGGAGTTGGGGAGTTTGCGAGGGAGCGGGTGCCGGTGAACGCACGGATGCTGGCGCTGCAGACCTGTGCGGGCGGCGCGGGGCGGCGGCGCGTGTGTCCCTGGCTCAAAGCAAAAGGCCCGCGCGTGGACTCAGTGCACCCGGGGCCTTGCTTGGGATGAGGACTCGCGGGGCAGAACTCCGCCTGGCGGAGCAACGGACGTTTCTCGGGCTGCCTGCGAAATGGCGGTGCAGAGCCCAGGCGGCAGCGGCGCTCTTGTACCTGTCCCTCTCACTCCAGAGTGGAGGGTGCTGGGGAGCGTATTAGACCCCACTGGGCCCCTGGACGGCGTCCCTCGGAGCAGGGAGGAAACCGGATCGAGACCCGGGTTGGGGGTTGCTTCCTGCCCCAGGTCACCCGGCAGGATAGCAGAGAATCGCGTCGCAGATACAGGACTCCTACCTTTAAGTGTCTGGTCCTCATTTTGACTTATTTGACCCTGTCTCCATGTTATTCTCACAGAACAATGTTGGGAAAAGGGTACTGGACGAGAGGTCAAGAAATCTGGGTTCTTGTCCAGTCCCTGCCACCCATCGGCTGAGAAACCTAGGCAAATTCACCTTTCTCTCTGGGCCTCAGTTTCTGGGTCTGTAAAGTTGGGGAACAGGCCTGGGTGATCTCTAAGAGCCAGCAAGGTTGTAGCGAGTCTGTGATTTTAAGCACCCGTTTCACCCTCTGGCCAGCTGGGCAGATCCTGGAGGATTTCTGCTTGTCTTCCCCGGGGTCCCACTGCTCAGCAGAGTCCTGGCTGCCTTTCTTCCCGCCCTCACCAGTCTCTCCTGGTCCCGTTTCCTGATGTGGATGTGGAATGGTGTTACGCAGGTCCCGACAGGCCATCAGAGGAACGCATCACCTGTCAGGGTCTCCACCGAGTGGCCGTCCCGCACCCCCCGGACATAAGCAGGGTGTTCAGGGTGTGAGGCGGACAGTCCCAGCCCCCAAGGCTCTCTCCAGAACTTCACTTCAGCCCCAGGCAGTCTGTGGCCCTGGGGAAGGGAGTCCAGCTGAGTGAGATTCACCAGTCCTCAGGCGTAGCCCTGAAGGCTGACTTCATAGATGTGTCTTCAGAGCCTCTTGTTTCTGAAGAGCCTCTGCGAGCCCTGTGGGGAGGGCCTTAGCTAAGTGGGGCTCTAGCCTTATCTCCTTCAACTCCTCGCCTAACCAGATTTGCTCCAATCCGTTTTCCACATTGGTCTTTTATGTACTTTTTTCTTCCAAGAAGGATTTGTCAACTGCAAATTTGTAAAAGTGGAAAATCCGCTCACCAGTCCAACTTCTGCATCTGTGAAATGGGCTAGGAACGGCGCATAGGATTGTTTTGAGGATTAGATGAAATGATACATGGAACTTTGCACTTTGCATTTAGAGACGTGCAAGTGATTAATGTGACCACACTAGGAGAGTAGAGCCGGTGGAGGGGAGGGGCCTGCCAGCAGCGCCCCCGCCCCTTGGGGAGCTGGTGGCGGAGTCAGGTCCTCTGGACCCTGCGAGAACAGTCAGAAGTCCTTCTCTCTCCTGCGTAGCCAGATGAACTCAGGGCTTCTGCTGCCACCTTCGTCACAAAGATGGAGCTGAGAGTGTATTTTCCTGCCTTGAGCTCCTCATTCAGGACAGGCGCACCCCTCCATCCAAGAAGAGGCTCTGAGAGTGTCCTGTCCTGGTGCAGCGGTGCCTCTGCTGCCCAGCTCCTGACAGAGGGCAGAGCCAGCTTCCAGGCTTGTGCCACAGGGTGAGGGATACTGTCTGCCCTCTGTCCCCAGCTGGCTTCCTTTGGCCTGCAGGCCTTGACCTCTCCCCCATCCTGTCCCGAGCATCAGACACGCACCCTTCACTGTTTTCTGTGATGTGGTCAGCCTCTCACGGACCCGCCTTTGTCTTTTATTTACCTGTAAAACTAACATGGATTGTTTGCTATGTGCCAGATGCTGGCGGCACAACACTCTCCGAGGCTGGTATGCAAACCAAAGTGTAAATTCATTCACTTGCAGACGGTGTGTGCGGGTGCAGTGCTCCAGGCCACCAGCATAGGCTGCTTTTCCCCAGTCAGGGTGTGCAGGGGCATGTGGCCCCAGAGGGGCTGACATGGTTTGAAGGTCCCTGTCCTAAAGGATAGGGAAGTCCTGGGATGTATGCCCTCCCCAGAGTCTCTTTCCTGCTTGACATCCTCAATCCCAACTTTCCTGTCTGAACTGTGAGGTCCTCCTGAGCTGCCTGGCACACCTGGTGGCCAAGACCCTTATGGTCCATGTGCCAGCCCAGCCAGTCTGCTGCTGCCCCCTGAGTGTGGGCATCTGACATGGCCTCTCTCTCCTTCCTGGGCACCAAAACCCAGGACAGGGCTTCAAGCTCTGAGAAACCTTCTTGACCCCTGGTGGACCAGCGATCCTTCTCTGACCTCCCACCGCATCTGGATGCCAGAGGTGGGGCAGCACAGGGGGGCCTCTTCCTATCCTGGGACTCATTTCACTGGGTGTCATTTGTTAGGCCTTCTGTCCTTTCATGAGATTTGAGCTCCAGACACCCAGCTAGCACTTACGTCTTAGCAAACGTTTGAGAAACGTTGGCTGAATGATTGAGTGAAGGAATGCGTTCAACACTACTTGTGACTGCGATGCTCCTGTCCCAGAGGAGACGCTCCTGTGGGCAGTGTGAAGCTGACGGCAGGACCAGTGTCCTTTCATGGCCAGCATTCTAAGCCCTGTTCCCTCCACTCTCCAGCCCAGGTGACCTTTCTTCGGATAGCTCATTGATGAGTCATTTCCAACTACCTTGTTACCAATTGCCACAGATACAGCAGTTTAAAGCAGTGCCCAGTTACTATCCCCCATGTCCCGAGAGTCAGAAGTCAGCAGCACATGCCAGGCGGTGCTCCGCCTGGGTTGCAAGGCCGAGGTCTGGGTGTGAACACTCCAGCAGTGAACCTGCCTTTGAGTTCTGCGTTGGCAGGACTGCATCTGTCCGTCGAGTTGTTGGTATCCCCTGAGGATGCCAAGCCGGGGAGAGACTCTGGGGTGGGGACACATCCCAGGACTTCCCCATCCTTTACCCTCTGGGGCCACATGCCCCTGCACACCCTGATTGGGGAAAAGCAGCCTATGTTGGTAGCCTGGACTGAGGTCCCTGTTCCTTGCCCACTGTGGGCCTCGGGGTTCATTCTCAATCCCCGTATTTCCCAACTTGTGGCTCCCTTTAAAGCCACCTGTAGTGGGTTGTGTCCTTGTGCCTGGAGTCTCTCTTCTGCCTTCCTTGTTTTAACAGTTCCTGTGATTATTTTGGGTTACTCAGCTAACCTAGGATCACCTCTCTATTTTAAGGTCAGCCTATTAGTAACCATAATTCTATCTGAAAATTCCTTAGAATTCTGCTCAGTATCAGCAGCCAGGCCCAGCTTGGCTCTTCCTGCCCCGCAAAACAGCCACTGCTCAGCGAGAGCTGAGCTGGGTCTCCAGGGAGAGCAAGGTGCCCTCCACAGCAGACCAGGGTGACAGTGACACCTGGGCTCGCTCCCAGTCAGAGCAGCCGGAGGCTGGTGGGAGTCAGGTTTCCCCTGCAGCCCTCTTGCTGCAGGACCTGGAGGCCTTTGCTGAATGTCCTCTGAGGGGCTGGCCTGGAGCAGGGGGATGAGCTGCGCAGAAAGCCCAGGGAAGTTTGCCCTTTTCAGGCAGATTTGTGGATTTGCTCACATCAGCTTCTTCACAAGGAAGCCACAGGCCACCTGGCCTGTGCCAGCCTCATTGCCCACCATTACCCTTGGCCTTTGTCTCTCAATTAAGAGCACACTGTCATCTCTACAACAGCCCCCTGGTGTCTCCCTGCCTTCCCCACTGCCAGCATGTGTGCGTGCACACACACACACACACACACGCACGCACACTAGTGAGGTAGTATACCTGTGGGCGTGGACTCTGGAGTCACCCCAGCCCAGGTGCGAGTCCAGGCTCTGTGACCTTGACAGATGACAGCTTCCAGCCCCGACCTCTGAAATGGAGCTAACCTCCCAAAACTATGAAGGCAAAAGAAACAATGTGTGAAAACCCGCAGTGCCTCTGTGATTATTCCCCAAGGGTGGCTGCTGTTAACTGCCTCTCAGCAGCAGACTGGGTGTCCGCTCCCTCAGGTATCATCCTGTTTGCTCATCTGGCTTTCTGGGCTCCCTGTGACTTTCTCAAGGACAGGGACCCAACTCTTATCTCTGTAGGTTCCAGCACCGGCCCGTACACAGTAAGTGAATCTGGAAAGTGCATGCGGGCAGGAAGGCAGGAGCTGATGTGGGATCTCCCGTGGGCTGAGCCGCAGAGCACAGGCACCCTCCTGAGACAAAGCAGCTTATGTGAAGCTCACAGGTCCCAGTGTCACAGGGAGGTGCTGGTGGGCTCGCACGAGGACCTTCTGGAGCATGACAGCCCTTCAGGCTCACACGTGGCTTAGTGTTTCAAAGCACTGTATCATCTGGAGCTCACTTCAGAGGTTGAGGTGGCACAGCACTAACCTCCTTTGACAGGTGGGGAAACAGGCCCAAGACCACAACCGTGGTCTTCTAACCCTGCAGCTGCAGACTTTCCATAGGGCCCTGCTGCTGGCCTGGTCCTGTTTATCGGCTCAGTCCAGGGAGAATGGCTCCCTGAAGAGCCAGAATCTGCCGGGACCCTTTAAGACCTAGGCTCCTGTTTTAGCAGCTTTTTCCTTCCTTAACCCATGTATTAAT